ACAGGGAGGGCTGGGCGGGGAGAGAAGTACAGCAATAAATGAATGAATGGAAATCCAAAATCTCTGTAAATGTTCATTAAAGTTATTAAAATAAACTTTAAAAAGGAAGTTAAAAAATGAAATAAAACCCCCACATAATGGGATTTGTAAGTAATATTATGATAAACGAAGATTGCAGGTGTCAGCTATTTCTTTTGCTTGAGCCTGCTATCAACACCCTGGTTTCAACATTCAAGAAATCTGATGTATTGGGAGTGTTTTAAGGAGTTAATATGCCACTCTGTGGACAAAAGTGCATCCTACTCATGCCATATGATTTTCAAACTTCTCCTTGGAGAGGGACATCATGTTTGGCAGAGTGGAGGGGCGGTGAAGGAGAGGAAGACCTTCGATGAGATGGATCGATTCTGTGACTGGAGCGGTGGGAATAAGTGAGTCTGGGATGACTAGGTTGGCACAGGATAGAACGGCATTTAGAGCTCTTGTACATAGGGTCACTATCTATGAGTTGCAAACGACTCTATGGCACATAACAACAATAACAACATATGTATAAGAAAGTGGGGCAATGGATCAAGATCTAAGAAGAGCTGATGTCTCTGAATTGTGGTGCTGGCAAACAATAGTGAATCAACTCTTATTATCAAACAAACAAATCTCTCTTGGAAAAGGTACAGCCAGAATATTCCTTAGAAGCAAGGATGTTGAAAACTTGTCTCGAATATTTTGGGAGTGGCTGTTTCCTGGAGAAAGACCATGCTCTGTATCAGAGAAGAGAAGGCCCTCAAAGACAGACTGAAGAATGGGTTCAAGCGGAGCAGTGGGTGGGATGAAGGAGATTATGACGGAACCCTTAGAAGGATCACTAGCAAGATGGCAGAGAATTCAATGACCCTGAAGAGAGACCCAGAAGTTATCCAATCTAGAAGAAGAAAAGGGAAAAGATTTTAATTGAATAAAGTCTCAGGGAGAGGAGAGAACAAAACAAAAAAGACCCACTGCCATGGAGTCAGATGTGACTCACAGCAACTCTCCACTGCACTTCTCAGGCTGCAAATCTGTACAGGACGAGGCTGCCCATCTTTCTCCGTTACAGCAGTTGACGAATCGGAACCACTGATCTTTGTTTAGCATCCTGATATACAACACATCAGAGATGCAAGGCAGTAACAACTGCTTCAGTACCTGAGTGACTTAAATCCTAAAAGAGAGCAGTACTGAAAAAAGAAAATCATCACCACAAACTCCAAATTCAGTGAAAAACATCAACTTACAGATTTGAGGATCTCAAGGAAAAAAACCCACCAACCCTAGACAGGATAAAGTCAACTAAATCGATGATGGCAGTGTGACATAAACAAGGGATACAATCAATTTTATTGGCATCTCAAATTAGAATGTTCCCTCTTATCATGAATTAAGACAAAAATTCATAGCATGTTTACTTGGCCATGAAATGTGTCAAAGGCGTATCGTGTTTGTCTGTCTCTGGCCAACACAGGCTGACAGGTCTCACCTGGATAAGTCAGATGAAACACGGAGTTGACACTTCTCTTCCGTAAGCTGTTTTCAGCTACAAGTGTGAAGTTGTACAGTTCTTGGGATTTTTGAGTCACTTTCCACTTGCACCAGTTTTTGTGTTTACAAAGCTTCTTTTTCCGTGAAGATCTTTAAAGAGACAATTACAGGGTTGACTTTTGTCAACGCGGATGTATCCTCTTAGCTGTGGGACACCCCCTGTGCCCTCCCAACCATGTCCTCTCACACAATGGCACAGTGCCAACAGCAACAAATACCAACAATGAAAATATTATTCCAAGAGTGCAGATTTTGCTCATTAAATATGTAAATTATGATCATGTATTTGTTAATGATGTCATCTGAGTGGCCCTTGGAGGCCAGGATGGTGAAACTTCATCCCATATATTCTTAGAAAGAACTAATCTTCGGAGAGAGACATCATGCTGGTAACGGTGGAGGGTCAGAGAAAGAGGAAGATCCTCAATGAGCAAGACTGACACAGTGACGACCACAGTGGGCTTGACCCTGACAGATGGTGTGCATGGGGCAGGACAGGGCAAGGTGCCCATCTGCTGTTCATAGGGCTGCTATGAGCTATAGTCAACTCAACGGCACCCAACAACAACAACAGCCCCTCTATCAACTAGGAGTACACTGTCACGGACTGAAGTGTGTTCTTTCACAATATGTGTAGGTAATGAGGCCATGTGGAAATTCTGAAATGCCTCCCACTAATCAAGTGGTTCTAAGAGGAAGCACATGGAATGTGGGTTTCTGGCCTCCTAAACTCTGACAAAATAAACTTCTGTTGCTTAAAGCATCTTACTGGTGGCATCTCTGTTACAGCAGCACTAGGTAACTAAGACAAACACTCTCTCATTTACTGTGAGCATTTTTAAAAGGTAGAAATAAAGGAGATAAAAATTATCAGGTGGAAATATTTTCACATACCCTTGTTCATCATTAACTCTGTTTCTTATCATTTCCCCCCATACTTTCTTTGTTAAAACTCAAGGAGCAAAGGTTTTACACTGTTGACCACAATAAGAAGTTCATCATTGCAAAGAGGACTGGGGTGTCAGGAAGTAGGTAATTGTTCAACAATGAATGCATATTTTTAAAAAAAAGTTAATTGGAGGGAGGGAGCAAGGGTAATATGTGCAACAATGAATGAATGAAAATTCAACTTCTCTGTAAACTTTTGTTAAAATCACAATTGAAATTTTATTAAAACAAAAGATTCCTCCTGACACTGGCAAGGTAGTTTTGACAAACTTAAAATTTTCTACAGCATCAAAATGTAGCTTTGTTTTTTCATCAGATTCTTTGTGGACAACAAATATTTAATGTCAAGTAGATGGAGCTAACTTACGCTTCAAATAAGGTGTAGGTTGGGGAAGTGTGTGACAAACCAGTGTCATTCCCAGGATCCCAAATGCACTTCAGAGTCTTCAGGTCCCAGATGTAACATAAAAAGTCCTTGGGCTCCTCCAAGATTTCTGTCGATGCAGACAGAAAGGAAAAAACACAATCTTAAAATAAAAATCAAACACAAACACAAAAAGAGAAGAAAAACCTGTTTAAGTAGCCTTATTTAACTTACAACCCAATTATTTTCTGCTTTGAAATTTTGTTGTTGTTGATGTTCAAGTCATATATTCAAATGATTGTTGTTGTGTGCTGCTGAGTCAGAATCAATTCACAGCTGACCCTCCAGAGGGTTTTCAGAAACAGTAAACTGCACAGGAGGAAACTGAACATCTTTCTCCCTTTGTGGAACTGGTTTATTCTAACTGCAAGCCTTTGGGATTGCAGTGCAGCTTTTTGCTGCTAGGCCACGAGAGAAAATAAATTTAAAAAAATCTAATTGAAGTAATAATGCTTTTGATACAATTAGCATAATAGGCATCTCTGGTGCTGGAGTTGGTGTCAAGAGGGCCGTTTTTGCAGATTCACGCAAACTGTATATAGCACTACTCCTGAGATGACAACATGCAATTCCCCATTAAACCCCCCAAAAACCAAACCAAACCTCTGCTCACAGCTGCCCTCCCTGGGGCTTAACGTGCTACAGATCTTTACAAGAGAACAGTTCTCTTTCTCCCACAAAGCAGCCACTGTGTGAGCCACTGTTGACTCAAACCACTAAGCTTTTTGTTAGCCAACACAATACCTAACACACTGTGCCACCAGAGAGCTTCAAAAACCCTATCCCAGGATTCATAAAATGTTTAAGGACGAATATTGTAGGTTGAATTCTGGTAAAAGCCTCAAGTATGAAGACCTGGATCTTAAGCTTTGAAGTAGCATTTCGTGTTAACTGTCAACGCTGAGTCCCTAAAGCTAACGGACGATCATGTGCTCTAGTCAGTGTGCTTTGTCATGGCCACCATGCAATAACTTAGTCAACGCAAGTCAAACTTCAGTGACTGTCAATTTTCCAACAGAGAATCCTATGTGATCTACTACTAACAAAAACAAACTATTCTTAAATGACGCTACAGACACAGGGTTAGGATTCCAACCTATTGTCAGGAACATAATTCAAACCATTCCTCCACACGTCCAAGAGGCTGATATCGCCGTTGGTAGAGGAAACAAGGAGTGGGGGAGAAAAGTAACCAAACCTGTCCTACCTGCAGAGGAAACACAACCTCCAGACAAGATGCAGGAGGTCCCCAGACTTATGAACAATAAAAAAAAATCTTACCTCCACTGCAGACAGCCCATGAAAGCCCTAGACATTAAATACACACAGGAAGTAGTTGTGGTGGACTGACATGTGTGTGGTACTGCTAATGAAAATTCCAATCTACTGGCTGCTCCTTGAGAGAAAGATGAGCAGTCTTTTTCCTTAAAGATATGAAGCCTCTGATGTCTGATGGAAGGTTGCTGAGAGTCAGAAGTGACTTGCTGGCAGTGGGTTTAGCAAGAAAAGTAACTGCCTTCATTGCTGAACACTTTCTGTTTGTTTTTGTTAGGTGCCATCAAGTCCACCGAGACCTGCAGCAACCCTATGAACAGTGGATCTGAAACTCGCCCAATCCCTTGCCATTTGCACCACCTCTGACATACCTGAGCCCACAGTTACAGTCACTGTGTTAATTCCCCTTGATGAGGGTCTTCCCCTCTTTCTCTGACCCTCCACCTTTCCCAGCACGCTGTCATTTTCCAACGACTGACTCCTGGAGACAACATGTCCTAAATACGTGAGAAAAGGCTTCCCCATCCTCGCCCCTAAGGAGCATCCGGCTGCACTTCACATATTCTTCATTTACCTTCACAACATGTACTAAGAGGCCCCTGACACAGAGGGAGAACCTGGCTTCGGGAGAACAGAGAACTCAGCCCAGCTGTCATCTCTGCTGAGGGCATGGGAATTCACGTTCAGGTCTGCCTTTATAATTACTACAGCAAATCCGGAAATGACAACCTATGTCAAAAAACATGACAGATTTTTTTCCTAAATCATAAAACCGATAAACAAACTGTAGTAGTAGCATTACTCAAGAAACATGTTTATGTAACTGAAAATAAAATGAGTGTAAAGGAAAACAAAAAAACAGACAAAATCCTTTCCTCCACCTCCTGACCTGCAGGTCTGTCCCTACAGGTATCCACCCTGTGTGGCAAAGGTCAAGCAAAGGAACCCTCCTAACATAGTGACTGGTTCAGCATTCAGCTTCTAAATGAGAGGGCGGCTGTTTGAACCCACCAACCACTTGAGTGGGGAAAAGGCCTGGTGATTTGCTCTTTTTTTTTTCCTTCTTAATGAATAGATTTTTTAAATTGTTTTGCATACAATTATTCTTATATATTTTGTTTCATTTATATTGTTTACATTGTGTTTTATACAATCATTTATATATGTTAAAAATATAATTAAGTATCTGTGTTTCATTGATTATGCAAAGGCATTTGACTGTGTGGATCATAACAAACTGTGGCTGACTCTGAGAAGAATGGGAATCCCAGAACATTTAATTGTGCTAATACGAAACCTACACTTGGACCAAGAGGCAGTAGTCAGAACACAGCAGGGTAACACTGCATGGTTCAAAATTGGGCAGGGTGTACACCAGGGATGCATCCTGTCTCCATACCTTTTCAACATGTATGCAGAGCAGATTATCCGAGAGGCTGGGCTCTATGAGGAGAATTGTGACATCAGGATTGGTGGAAGATCTGTTAACAATCTGCGTTATGCAGATGACACAACCCTGCTTGCTGAAACTGAGGAGGACCTCATACACTTGCTGTGAAGGGTCAAGGACTGCAGGCTTCAGTATGGACTGAGGCTCAATGTCAAGAAGACAAAGATTCTCACCACTGGACCAATTGGCAGCGACAGGATGCATGACGAAGAGATTGAGATTGTTCACAGCTTCAGTTTGCTCGGCTCCACAGTCAACACTTTTGGCACCAGCAGTCAGGAAATCAAAAAGCGTATCGTGATGGGAAAGTCTGCTGTTAGGGACCTCTCTAAAGTACTCAGGAGCAATGGTGTCTCTCTGGAGACTAAGGTGCGCCTGATACAGGCCATGGTCTTTGCAATCGCTTGTTATGCATCAGAGAGTTGGACAATGACTAGGGAGGACAGAAGGAGAGTTGATGCTTTTGAGCTGTGGTGCTGGAGAAGAGTACTGAATGTACCATGGACTGCCAGGAAAACAAACAGATTCATCTTGGAGAGGATTAAACCAAGCTACTCCTTGGAGGCAAGGATTCTGGGGCTTCGTCTGACATACTTTGGACATGTTGCCAGGAGGTCCTTGGAGAAGGACATCATGCTTGGGAGGGTGGAGGGACAGCGTAGGAGGGGAAGACCCTCTATGAGATGGATTGATTCGGTGACTGGGGTAATTGGGATGGGTGTGTCAGAGGCAGTGCGGTTGGTGCAGGATAGAGCAGGGTTTAGGGCTGTTGTGCATAGGGTCGCTATGAGTCACAAACGACTCGACACATAACAACAACAACAACAACAACTAGTAATCAATGTCTTTTATCAACCCTTTTCATCAAATCCCTATTACACCATGCCTAGATATTAATAGATTTGTAAATTTTTATTTTTTTCTCTTCTCTGTCATACTTTTTTTCATTAATTTTAATGGAAGTTTACAGAGACTTAGGATTTCCATTCATTCATTGTTGCACTTTTCTCCCTGTCCACCACCTCCCGGCCCCAATTCGCTCTTCTCTTTGAAAAATAAAAGAAAAATTATTAAGGGGAGCTCTGGTGGCCTAGTGGCAAGGAGCTGCAACTACAATCGCAGAGGCGCACGGTTCGAACCCACCAGATGCTCTGCCAGGGAAGGAGGGACAATCTCCTCCTGTACCAGTCAGATCTGATTTGATGGTACACTCACACAAAAATAATAAAATTTTTTTTAAAAAAAGGAAAAAAAAAAGAAAAATTCTTTCATTGTTATACAATCCCTCCCCCAAGTCCACTCCACTGTGCACCCTTCATTCTGGACTCCTGTCATGACAATAATACCTAATCATATATCCCTTTTAAACAGTTCTCTCCTTCATCTATTTCAATGCCGTATACATTATTTATCCCATCTTTTTCAGTCTTCCCTCAACCCAGATGTCAGTTCCGTTTTACAACAGTGACACTATGCTCTTTGTAAAGATCACAGGCCAGTTCTCCTCTACCACATGGGGGTGCTGTAACTCAGACTCAGTGAGCAGCACTCCTGGACCACAAGGCAAAGCAAGAATCTTCCCTGCAGAGTCCTGAATTCCTCCGTTTTTAGCCTCCTCGTGTCTAGGACTAAAACTGTGAGACAGGACAAAAGGAAATCCTGAAAGCAATGATCCAGGATAACTTTACCAGTCTTCTCTAGAAAACTAGGAAAGCAAGCACAAAGCCATGGCCAGTCATTGAGTACAAACATCTGTGCACATTTAGTAAAGGCACTTCCAGAGCAGTCTATCCCATAGGACATGGAGAAAGATAGTGACAGAGAGAGACAGAGAGAGAGACAGAGAGAGACAGAGAGACAGAGAGACAGAGAGAGAGAGAGAGAAAGAGAGAGAGAATGAATATGAATGAATGAATGTGCAAACTTACTTGATACATAGATTACGGTGCCTTTTGCATCCACATCCTGCTTCACTTTGCAGAAGACGCTGGTGCCTGTTGACCTAACAAAAAGAACATGGCTCAAAGTGAACATGGACACATCAGGAGTGAGCTGTTCTCCTTGGATTGGTTCACCTTCCAAATAACAGTATATGTTATCCTGATTACTCCTAGAAATGTAACACAAGGTGACACTGGAACCTTCTTCCACGACTTTGTCCTGGGGGAACATGAAGAAATGACCATTTCCAAGAGAAGCCTTTACTGCAAGACATTAAAAAAAAAAAAAAAGACAGCTCAGTTAGAAAAATACTCAAAATCTCAAAATTAAAATACCCCTTCCCCTCTTGACTCCCAGCAGCAGCAAATGACATTAACATTTTTTATCTTCCTTGGAAAACTGAAGTCTCAATTTCTACACCTTTCAAACTTGTACTTCAGTACTTGCTTAAAGAATGTAAAAAAAAAAAAATCCTTTCCGTCACCACTATTATCACACCAATACCACAATACCACAGCTCCTTCTGCTGTGACCGCTACTGTTGTTATGTGCTGTCACATTGGTTCCGACCCACAAAAAAGTGTGGAGCTTGCCTATGGGGCTTCTAGGCTATACTCTTTATGGGAGAAGGCAGCCAGGCATTTTCTTTAGAGGCACATCATTACCATTTATTGATTACTGCCGCAGATCAGGTAAGCAGTCATAATGGTACAGAGGTTAAGTGGTTGGCTATTAGCTAAAAGGTCTGAGGTTTGAATTCATCAGCCATTCCGCTGAAGAAGAAGAGGGTAATTAGTTCCCATAAGGATCACAGTTTAGGAAACTTCACGAGGCAGCTGCATTCTCTCCTACAAGGTCGCTACAAGTATGGACCAATTGGGCAGCCTGAGGTTCTAGGTATTGTTATTACAATAACAGCAGTTTCTTTCTGTCGATTTCCAGCCTGGTGAGAAGTCCATGTTTAGTACTGAAGAGTCTGTGACATCACTTAGGACTGTGTTGTGTGTAACACAGGGGACACATTCACGCTTTTGTCACTGCAGCTGTGTGCTGTCGAGCAACCTACGAAAAACAGCTCTGGAACTTTCCCTCCTGATCTCGGATATACTCAGGCCCACGGTTAGAGTCACTGCTGTCAATCCACCTCATGGAACATCTTCCTGCCTTTTGCTGATCCTCTGCTTTTCTCAGCATGATGTCTTTTCCATACACTGGTCCTTTCTGACATGCCCAAAGTAAGTAAGATGAAGTTTCACCATCTTAGTCCCTAAGGAGCACTCTGGTTACATGCCCTCCAAGACAGATTTGTTTGTTCTTTTGGAAGTCCAATGGATATTTAGTATTCTTTTTTAAAAAATGTATCCTTTCTTTGGTATTAACAGGTTGAATATATTGTTTTTTAAAAATTCACATTAATTCATTGTTACACATTTTCCTCCCTGTCCCCACTACCCCAGTTCACTGTTTTCTTTGGGAAAAAAGTTCTTTCATTGTTATATAGTCCCCCTCCCTGCCCCCAGACCATTTTATTGTGCAACACTTATTCTGGACTCTTGTCATGCCAATACTACATAATTATATGTTCCTTTTATACAGTTCTCTCCCTTTTCTGTCTCATGCCATATTTATCCCCTCTTCTCTCAGTTTTCCCCCAACTCCCATATTAGTCATGTTCTATAACAGTGGCACTATGCAGTATTTGTCCTTTTGTGATGGAGATATTTCACTCATTTTGTATATTTCATGAGTTCTTTGTTTTTTCAGTGCTGCATAATATTCCATCCTGTGACTATACCACAGCTTCTCTACCCATTTCTTTGTTGACGGAAACTTGGGCTGTTTCCAACTCTTTGCTATTGGGAACAAAGCCACAATAAATATGGGTGAGCATATATCTGCTTGGGTGGCAGTTCTGGTTTCTTTAGGGTATATTCCAGTAGTGCAATGGCTTGGTCAAATGGTATTTCTATTTACATCTTTTTGAAAAAGCACCATATTGCCTTCCATAGTGGTTGCATCATTTTATACTCCTACCAACAGTGAGTAAGGGTTCCAGTCTCTCCACAACCTTGCCAATATTTGTTGCTTGGATATTTAGTATTCTTTTCCAAAAAATTCAAAGATCTTGGTCTTTCTTCTATCTTTATTCACTGCCCAACTTTCAGATGTCAACAAAGCAACAGAAATTCTTTGTGGTTGGACATTTGGGCTGTTTCCATGTTCTTGTGATGGTGAATAATGCTGCTATGAACACTGGTGTACAAATCTCAGTTTGTGCCTCATATTCTCAGGGTAAATTCCAACTAGTAGAATAGCTGGGTCATATGGAATTTCTATGTTCAGCTTTTTAAGGAAGCGTGAAACTGCCTTCCAGAATGGTTGGACCATTTTACAATCCCACCAACAATGTATAAGAGTTCCTTTCTCGTCACATCCTCTCCAACATCTATTACTTGCTGCCCTGTGAAACTTTTTCACTGTTACTGGAGTAAGGTGGTACCTCACATCATACATAATAATCAACTCAAGGTGGATCAAAGACCTAGGAGTAGAGGATTGTGATTGTGCTGCAAACCCAAAAGTGGCACCTCTCTGGTGGTTCAAATCCACAGCTGCTCCTCAGGAGAAAGATGGGCAACCTCATGCCATGCAATTTATGATCCCTGAAAACTGTGAGAAGAGTCAGCTATGAGTTGATTCCAAGTCCACAATAACAGAAGAGTTAATCTTTACAATAGTAGACTGCTGGGTATTTTGCTGAGATGTTGAGTGGGTTTGAACTGAATACTTTCAGTTAGCAGGCAAGTGCTTAACTGCTCTACCAGCAAGGCTCCTTTCTAGATCAGGGCCAATTCCTGTTCACACTCTGATTACAAAATATAAAAAAAAATTTATTAGAACACTGCCATTCTCACTTGCTTACATATTGTCTGTGGTCTATTACTGCTTTTGCCCAACACTGGCAGGGTTAAGCAATCATGACAGTCTCAAAGCCCAAGACTTTTATTATCTAATCATTTACAGAAGAAGTTCTGTGACATCTACTACACATTTGTCTAGTCAATTGTCCACAATTTATGTTCTGTTTTACTTCTCATTCTACGATCAACTGACTTTACATATTTGGAAAATACATATCTAATTGTCTAAGTTTGCATAATTATCTCTGCAAATAACTTTGGAGGTAAAACTTCAGACATTTATCATCCAGTGACAAGTTCCAAACATACACTTCTCAGTTATAAAGAAAACTGTCTCCAGACTTACTCTAAGGGAATCTTTCAAACTGCAAGTAATAGGAAATATGAAAACCTTCTCTCCTTCTAGCCACCTTGCTTCTTACCATTGTCTTTTTCCCATGAAGTCCAGTTGCTCCAGGCCCTGGACCCTGGGAACTTGGCATCACCCACCAAACTCCTTATTCTCACAAAGTGAGTGGCACATTCCAGAGGCAGTTCCGATTCCCAGCTCCAATGCAGGACTTGAGTCCCCTTCACAGTGGCACTGTAGTTCCCCTAGAATGAAAGGGGGAAAAATCTGGAAACATGGTCCTGGAAAATAGTTTGACTAACTTAGAACCAAAGGCTAAACCCAGGAGGCCCTGTAGCTCCCTAGTGTAGCTGTGTAACCTTCTCTTAGCAGGTCAGCGCTCAGGAAGCCAGCAACAGCCTCTGCTTTTAGAAGAGTCTACTCCCCATCCCCTACCCCTGGACCAACAGGCACCATCATGAGAGATGAAGAAAAGACTAAAGTTGTCACAGATTTCATCTTGCTAGGATCCAAAATAAAGACCTTGGGTACCAGGAGTCAAGAAATAAAAAGATATACTGCTTTGGGAAAATCTGCAATGACCCATGCATGGTACTAAGGAGCAACAGTGTCAATTTAAAGAATAAGGTGCACCTGATTCAAGTCATGGTCTTTTCAACTATTTGCTTTGCATCTGAAAGTTGGGCAATGACTAAAGGTGACAGAGGAATCTATGCCTTTGAGCTGAGCTGTGGTGCTGTTGAAGCATTTAAAAATGCCATGGAATGTCAAAAGAACAAATACTCTTGGAGAAAGCACAACCAGGGTGCTCCTTGGAGGCAAGGATGGTGAAAGTTCACCTCACATACTTTGGACAGGTTGTCAGGATAGGTCAGTCTTTGGAGAATGACATCAACCACCACGCTCCTTAGTCTCATGAAGTGAATCGCACACCGCAAAGGGAGCTCAGATTTCCTGCTCCAACGCAGAACTTGGGTCCCCTTCATGTCAGCACTGTAGTTTGACGAAAGAGAGGAATTCCTGATCCTCAACAAGATGGATTTACACAGTGATTGTCAAGTTTCAGAGAGGATGAGGATGGGACAGGGTAGAGTCGCTAAGAGTCCTAGTGGACTCAATAGCACCTAACAACATCCCTTGTTGTTACCTGCCACCAAGGAGACCCTAACTCATGTTGACCCAAGGCCCAGCAGAACCAAACCATACTGGCCCCATGCCATCCTCACAGAAGTCCAATAATCTCGAGTTCACTGTTTGTCTGTGGCAGTAACACACTATGAGTGCTTCCCACCCCGGGCTTCATCTTCTTGGACTAGGTCAGAATATAGTCTGTTACGGTTAGATTTTCAGTGGTTGATTGATAGAAATAGATATCCAAGTTGTTAATCCTAATCTATCTCTGTCTAGAAAGTGCTGGGAAGTGTCCATATGGACGAGCCTGCTGGTCCTTAACATACTGGTGGTTTTGGTGGTGGTGATGGTATTACCTTCCACATAGCCAGCTACGACTTAAAGGGTCCTTGCCCTATCCTGGTCTTCTCTGTCCTGCTTGACCTCATGTTACAGTCACTGTATCATCTTGTTCAGGGTCTTCCTCTCTCTCTGACCCTCCACCTTTCCCCAGTATGATGTCTTGTGAAAGTAATTTGTTTTATTTAGATCCCTGTTATGTGATATTTGACAAATTCTTGACCATTAAAAAAACCCAAAAACCAACACAAAAAAGTCACTGAAGTGGAGTCAGTACCTATTCATCACTGAGCCTCCAGTGGATTTTCAGACACTGTAAACGGCACAGGAGGAAACTGCCTCTATTTCTCCCTCGGAGAAAACTGGTGGATTCAAAGCAGTCTGAAGTAAACCAGTTACACAGTGTTTGTGTTGGCAGAGTAACTCACTAGGCACTTGGCCACCAGGGCTCTGAATTAGAGTCCACTGTGTCTATGCACCAGTTTCTTTAGTCATTCTTCCGCTGACGGGCACTTGGGCCCTATCCAGCCCTTTGCTATGAGAAACAGCCAGCATGTAATCATTTCGAATACACTGGTTTTCAAGCTCATTTCTTATTTCCGCTGATATGCTCAGCTCAGACATCCCCATGACTGCATAAAGCCTGGCCCTGGGCCTACAGTCTGAGGTCGGTGATGAATTACTCAGTCTGTTCATTAATATGCACAAAGTTTGCTTCTCCCCAGGCACTCTTTGTGTAGATTCTGTCTGACCTCAGTTTGTCCTTCGTAGGTCCTTAAAGTCCTCTAAATGGAAGCAAGAAAACTTTCCTGGCATGTGCCAATTGAGATTTATTTTTTTTTCGATGTGATTATTGTCATAGGGCCATTTTCATCAATGGAAGTTAACTTGGCCTCTCCAGATCTGGGGACGTCCGTCACAAGTTGTGGTCACAGGCATTTACAAAGAAACCAACTGAAATAAAACTGAAGGGAGTTCTGTTCCATGACTGACTCTTACTCCACACACAAAATCACAAAGAAAGGGGTCAGAAGGAAAGGCCAGAACGTGGGCTTCCAGGATGACTGTGGGTGTTGGAGGCTCCGAGTGGCAAATGACATGGACAGACAGCTCCGTGTCACCCTGCAGCAGGAAGCACCTGGATAAAGCAGCTTTTTATCAAGGAAATAAAAAAAGGTAGTAAATCTGGCAAAGAGGAAGTAAAGCTAATCTTACTTGAGGCTGATAAAATCTTATAGTAAAAAAAAATTCCAAAAACTAAGAAAACTATTGGATTTAACAACTCAGCTTAGTAAAATGGCAGGGCACAAGTTCAATATACAAAGATCCATTAGATTTCTCTAGAATAACTAAGAAAACACTGAGCAGAAAATAAGGAAAATAAGTCCGTTTATAAAAGCTCCCCATAAAAAGAAATACTTAGGAATGTATCTAACCAGTGGTACAAAAGACCTTCAGAAAGAAAACTATAAAACACTACCACAAGAAACTAAAAAAGAACTACCTAATAAATGGGAAAATACACCATGTTCTTGAATCATAAGCCTTAACATTGTGAAAATGGCAAAACTACCAAAAATAATCTATAAATACAATGCAATCTCTGTACAGGCACCAGCATCATTTTCCAAAGACATGGGGGGAAAGAACTGACCAGACAAGAACCCAGACAAGCTAAAAGATGGTGATGAAGAAAAACAAAGAGGCCTCACCCTCTCTGATTTTACATCTCACTACTCGGCCAACTGACTGGAAGAGAGCTGTATTTGTTCCCATTCCAAAAAAAGGTTACCTGACAGAGTGTGGAAATTACTGAACAATATCATCAACATCATATGCAATCAAGATTCTGCTGAAAATTATAAAAAACACCAACCCTGGAACAGCACATCAATAGATGTGCAGGCTGGGTTTAGAAGAGGTTGTGGCACTAAGAATAATGTAGCCAATATTAGATGCATCATACCTGAGAACAGAGAGTACCAGAGGAATAACTGTTTGTGTTTCATCGACTATGCAAAGGCATTTGATTGTGTGGACCACAAAAAACTGTGGCTGACTCTGAGAAGAATGGGAATCCCAGAACACTTGATTGTGCTCACATGAAACCTATACTTGGACCTGTAGGCAGGTGTCAGAACAGAGCCAGGAAACACAGTATGGTTCAAAATCAGAAAAGGTGTACACCAGGGATTCATCCTATCTCCATACCTTTTCAATCTATATGCAGAACAGATCATCCAGGAGGCTGGGTTCTATGAGGGGGAATGTGGCATCAGGATTGGAGGAAAACTCATCAACAACTTGTGTTACGAAGATGACACAATAGTACTTGCTGAAACCAAGGAGGACCTGAGGCATTTGCTGCTGAAGGTCAAGGACTGCAGCCTTCAATACGGATTGAAACTCAACATCAAGAAAACAAAGATTCTTACCATTGGGCCAATTGGCAGCATCATGATAGACAGGGAAGAGACTGAGATTGTTAATAGCTTTAACTTGCTTGGCTCCACAATCATCACTCTCAGTACCAGTAGTTATGAAATCAAATTGCATTGGGAAAATCTGCTGTCAGGGACCTCTCCAGAGTACTGAAGAGCAACAATGTCAGTCTGGAGATGAAGTTGTAAGCTGTGCATGATCCAGGCTATGGTCTTCGCAATTACTTGCTATGTATCAGACAGAGAGCTGGACATTGACTAAAGATCATTGAAGAAAAATCGATGCCTTTGAGTTGTGATGCTGGAGAAGAGTATTAAATACACCATGGACTGCTAGGAGAACAAACAGGCTCATCCTGGAGAGGGTGAAACCAGTCTGATCCTTGGCAAGGACTTTGAAGCTCCATCTGCAATAATTTGGGCATGTTGCAAGGAGGCACCAGTCCTTGGAGAAGGATATTATCCTTGGAAGGGTGGAGAGATAGCACAAGAGAAGATAATCCAGGATGAAATGGATTGACTCAGTGACTGAAGAAAAGGGGTAGATGTTTCAGAAATGATGAAATTGGCTCAGGATAAAGCAGGGTTCAGAGCTGTTGTACAGAGGGTCACTATGAAGATGAGTTGACTGAACGGCACATAACAACAACAACAATAACTCAGTCACTAGAATTTGGGTGGCCTAGTGGTAGGAAACTGCACTGCAACTCCAAAGGAACACAATTCAAATCCTCCAGCTGCTCTGCAGAAGAAAGATAGGCAATCTCCTCCTGTGTGATTCACTGCCTCTGAAAATCCACTGGAGGGTGAGCTATGGGTTGGTTCCAGCTCAAAGGTACCAACAATAAAAACAGTCAGCCACAGAGAGCTCTGGTGGCTTAGTGGGTAAGGAGTTGCACTGTCAAGCCTTAGGTAGGCAGTTTGAATCTACCAGCTGCTCCATGGAAGAGAGATGAACAGTCTCCTCTCACATGATTTACAGCCTGTGAAGGGTCAGCTCTGAGTCGGTTCCAACTGCATGACAAGGAGTTGTGTTTATCCAACCACAGTCCTGGTACAATCACAGGTATGTTGATAAATTGAATAAAACTGTGAATTCAGAAATAAATCCATCCACCTACAGACAACCGACCTTTGACAAAGTGATGAAATTTATTAAGTGGGGAAAAGATAGTCTCTTTAGAGATAATCTTAGCGACAGCTTAGAAATGGTGTTAGCAAAACTGGCTACCCATCTGCAGAAAAGTGACACAACACCCATTCTTGACACTATATATAAAAACTAATGAAAGATGGATCAGAGGCCTCAGAGTAAAACCTAAAACTATTTAGGTCATCAGAGAAAAAACTGAGGCTAACTTGGGAGCCCTCAGCCATGGCTTAACTAGGATATTAAATATAACTGACACACAATCAACAGAGGATATATCAGGTGATCTGAATTTCCTAAAGATGAAATCTTTATGTACATCAAAAGAATTCTCCAAGAGTGAAGGAAGAACTTACAGATAGGGGAATAAATATTTGCCAAAGACACATTTGACAAGGGACTCATGTCTAAAATTTAATAAAAGTCCAACATATCAGCAAGAAAAAGGCAAATAACTCAATCTAAAATGGGCAGAGGGCATGGATACTCATTTCACAACAGAAGATATTCGGATGATCAACAAATAAAGAATTGTTCCACATCCCAGGAAAGACAGTACAGTTTGATAAATGTTCAATGCTCAATAAATGTTAGTGAGGATGTGGAGAGATTGGAAATTTCATGCATTCTTGGTGGAAATGGAAAATGGTGCAATCGCTACAGAAAGAATTTGGGTGTTACCTTAGAAAGTTGGGAATAGAAATGTAATTTGAGCTAGCAATCTCATTCCTCTATCTATCTATCTATCTATCTATCTATCTATCTATCATCTATCTATCTATCTATCTATCTATCTATCTATCTATCTATCTATCTATCTATTACCTTGCCATCCATCCTAAAGAAATAAGAGCTTTAGCATGAACACATATAAACACATCATTATTTACTGGATCTCTATTAATAGCTAAGAGAAACAAGCTAAGTCCATCAATTAAAGATTGGCTAAAGAAACAAGCTTGGAGGCAGGAGTAGCATCCACTTCCATAATAGCTTGCCTCCGGAAACCCTATGAACCTGGAGAGAGGATGAAAGGCACCCAAGCGTCAAGGACTCTCCTTCATAGGGTCACTATGAGTCACCTGTGACTCGATGGCACTTAACAACAACAAAGAAACTGTGGTATATTCACACAATAGACTATTATGATTTACTTAAAATATATTAAAATGTAATGAAATCACGTACAAAATGGATGACATCAGAACAGATTTTCTCATTGCACCATGGGCCGGGTGAGGGGCAAGAGAGGGGGAGGGAGGCAACAGTGCAGCAACAAATGAATGAAAGCCCTACCTTTCTTTAGAAATCTAAAACTTTAAAACCAAAAAGAAAGCATAATTCTCAAGGGCCCTGCTCATGAGGTCTGAGTGGTGTAAATGGCAGTTAACGGAAAGGTTGTTAGTTGAAGTCCCCTGAGAGACACCCCAGAAGAAAGGTCTGGAATCAAATTTTAAAATAATCAGCCACAGAAACCCTAGGACTTATGGTTCTACCCTGAAACACAGGGGTCGTCATTAGTCAACCCTGACTCGAAGGCAGTTTGCTTTCCTGGCTTCATCCTCCTAAACTGAAGGGAGCTTTGAAGTGTCTCAGCCTCAGGCCTCACACGTTCGGACTAGGCTTTATCAGGGCATCAGAAAGGAACTTTCAGAATAATGAACAAAAATAACCATATCAACAAAACTACTTACCACCCAGATGACATTGGAAGTTACAATTCTACTCATCTGTATCTGAAAAATCATTTGTAGTTCCTGATGCTGAAAATGGCTGTGGACGTGCCACTGTAAATCCAAGCGTTGGTGCGTAGAATTGGCAGAAATTTTAAGTAACTCAGGAGTCAATGGCAGAGATTCAGACAAGACTGAAAGAACAAGACACGGTATGAAATAATGTTTAATGACAGCAGAACTAGCCACAGACAATTAAACAGCTCAGCAGAATAATTTTTTTTCCATTTTGGAAAGCATTACTCATATGTGCATTCTAGACTCAGAGAACTTGAAAAGCTGGGAGAAAATTTAGAAAACAAATTATAGATTAAGAAACTAAGGCCCTGTTGTTACTGTGTGCAACTGAGGTGGAGCTGACCCTTCAGAGGGTTTTCAGAGGCAGTAACTCACACAGGGGGAGACTGCCCATCCTTTTCCCACAGAGCAGCTGGTGGATTCGAACTGCACACCTCTGAGATTGCAGCACTGCTTCTTACCACTATGCCATGAAAAAATGTAGGCCTAGGTGAGAGAAACGACTTGTTCAATAATACGCAACTAGTTAAGAAACTGATGCATACTCAAAACTGAAAGAGCTGCTATTCAAATAGCTCTGGTGGCACAGTGATTGACGAGTTGCACTGCCAACCCAAAAGCAAGTGGTTTGAATCCACCAGCTGCTCCACTGGAGAAAGCCCACTGGAGGGTCAGCTGTGACTCAGTGGCAATGAATTTTGAAATTTATAACAAGGCTAAAGGAACAGGATGTTTTAGCATAATTTCATATTTCTAGAAGTCAGAAGAACTTTGTCATTGTATGATGTCACATTAAAAAAAACCCCAACCCTAACAAACCCAAATGCACTGAGACCAGGTATGAGCTTCACCAGGAGTGGCTGGAAAATGATGCAAATGCAGCACTGATTAATGGTAGAGTGCACAGCCTGTTACTTTACATGCTGTCAGTGAGTATCTTACCTGGGAAAGTGAGCTGGTGAGAACTAGGTCACAGACTTAGATCAGTAACAACAAGAGCTTAGGCTGCTTACACACAAACCAGTATCACAAAAGATTTGGTTCTTTCGTTTGGAAGTTTAGAACCACATCCTTGTGGGACATCCCATTGTCCTAATAACAGATTTAGGACTCCGTTCTACCTCTACTCTGTCTGCATACTGTCTGAGGTCCGAAAACGGAGCCCTGGTGGCTAGTGCACTACATGTTTGTCTGCAAGTGAAAAGGCCCCCGCAAGATTAATCCAGCAGTCACTCCAAGGGAGAAAGATAAGCAGTGTCTTCACATAACAATTTATAGCCTCAGCAATCGAATTGGCTGGGGAGCGGGGAGCAGGGGCAGGTGATGATGAATGGCTGATGGTGGAAGGATGGGATCCGAAAAGCTTGGCAGCAGCCACCCAAGGCACACAAACAGGGCCCCTCTATTCACTTGGAGCAACAGAGGACAAAGAAGAGTTAGGAACAGGATGAAGAACTAGAATGTGTGGTTAACACACATGTGGCCTCATCAATAACAACACCCTTTGATGTGAGGCCTTCAGAAGAATGGGATACCACCCAATAATTAAGTCCACGAGGAAGCACAAAACCAATCTACATGTCTGTCAAAGGAACGAGAAACTTACAGCGCCTTGCTATAAAGAATACAATGCATATATCTAGTAATTTAGTTTTTGCAGTGTACTGTCGAGTTGGAACCAGCCCACAGCTGACCCTCTGGTGTGTTTGCAGAGTCAGTTAATCACTCAGGAGGAGACTGCCCATCCTTCTCCTGCATTTTAGTTTGCAGTACATCATCAGACCACATCATCAGTACTTCTCATAAAGATAGGTAGAGTTGGAAAACTGAGTGACGGTCGGTGCAAGGCGAACTCAACGGATGGCGGGGGTTGCTTTTAGGTTTGTAAAGTGAGCACATATCCCATTTCCAGACATAATCACTTCTATTTCAATGCTCTGCCCATAAAATCCTTCTCACAGAAATGTCTTCAAGCTGATAAAGAATATTTAGTAAAAACCCTACAGGTCACATCTATACATTATATAAAATTGATGCTCTACTCTGAAGGTTAAGATCCAGACAAGGTGGAGATTGAGATGATCATATGGGATCGGGCCAAGTTTCCATCTGGTGTTCACAGGGTAGCTGTGGGTAACAGTGGACACGACAGCCCTTACCAACAATATTTATGTGAAAGTGAATCAAGAAGACCGAAGAATTGAATTATAGTGTTGGTCAAGATTACTGAATGTACCCCGGACTACCAAAAGATCAAACAGATCTGTCCTGAAAAGAAATGCAGCCAGAATACTCCTTAAAAACCAGGATGACAAGGTTTTCTCTCCTCTATTTTTGGCATGCTATCAGGAGCAAGTTTCTAGAGAAAGACCTCATACTTGGGAAAGTAGCAGTTGTGTGTCATCGAGTTGGAATCAACCCATAGTTGACCCTCCAGTGGGTTTTCAGAGGCAGTTAATTTCATGGAAGGAAAGTGCCCATCCTTCTCCAGTGGAGCAGCTGGTGGATTTGAACCACGCACCTTTGGGATTGCAGCTTCTTGACCCTCAGTAAGAGAGACTAACCCAGTGGCTGCAGCAGCGAGCTCAAGCCCATCAGTGACTGTGTGCACATGAAGGCCTGGGGTGCTTCATCCTATCGTACACAGCTTACCTTGAATCCAACTGAACAGCATCTAACAACAGGTTAAGGAACTCAGTCTCATTATTTTCCAGATGATGAAACTGAGGTTTAAGAAAAAGCAAGTGATTTCTCCAAGGCCCCTCAACCACAAACCCAGGTCCTTGGCACCTGGTCCAACCTTCCTTCCTGTAGCTGGAGTGGAGTGTAGTCAGGAAGAGCAGGCTTCAAATCAGACAGGCCTTCTTCTCAATCACTGAACCTTCTCCCTCTTCCCTCACCTGGCTGGCCCAGCACACGCGAGGAAATAAAGCATGTTCTACTCAGAATCGGAGCTCTGGGGGCCTAGTGGTGAGGAGTTTCACAGCCAACCCAAAGGCATGTAGTTAGAACTCACCAGCTGCTTCATGGGAGATGTAGACAAGCTCCTTCCACACAATTTACAGCATCTGAAAACCCTCCCGACAGAGGGTCAGCTCTGAGTTGTTTCTAATTTGATGGTAATAACAACAATAACTCCTCAGAATCACCTTCCATCTGTGTTTGTGCTGCAGTGACAGTGGTGGTTAATATGTCGCTATGATGTTGGAAGCTTTATCAGCAGAGTCACTCACGATGGTCTGGTTTCAATGGAGCTTCCGGACTCCAGGAAGACAGACCAGGAAGGAAAGCTTAATGATCCACATCTTAAAAGTTGTTATTGTTATATGTGCCATGAAGTTGTGTGTGACTCATAGCAACCTTATGTACATGAGCTCTGAAACCTGCTCTATCCTGAGCCAATCTCATCATCTCCAACAGACCTAATTCCATTTCACCAGTCACTAAGTCAATCCATCTCATCCTGGGTCTTCCTCTCCTGTACTGTCGCTCCACCCTTCTAAGCTTAATGTCCTTCTCCAAGGACTGGTCTCTCCTGGCCACATGCCCAAACTATGTGAGATGGAGCTTCAAAATCCTTGCCTGCAGGAAGCAGTCTGACTTCACTATTTCTAGGACAGACCTGTTTGTTCTCCTGGTAGTCCATGGTATGTTCAACACTCTTCTCCAGCAACACAGCTCAAAGGCATTGATTACCCTTCTATCATCCTTAGTCATTATCCAGCTCTCTGATGCATAGCAAGTAGTTGTGAAGACTATGGCCTGGATCAGGAACACATTAATCTTCAGACTGACATAGTTTCTCTTCAGTACTCTGGAGAGGTCCCTGACAGCCGACTTTCCCAATGCAATTCATCTTTTGATTTCTTGACTGCTGGTGCCAAGAGTGTTGACTATGGAACCAAGAAAGCTGAAGTCATTAACAAACTCAATCTTTTCTCCGTCTATCATGAAGCTACCAATTGGCCCAGTGGTGAGAATCTTTGTTTTCTTGGTGTTGAGGTTTAACCATATAGAAGACTGCAGTCCTTGACCTTCTACAGCAAACACCTGAGGTTCCTCCTCAGTTTCAGCAAAAAAGTCTGTGTCCACTGAAAGTCTACTTTACCTTCAGCAAGGCAGTCACTGAAAACTCTACGGATCACAGGATATTGTCCAAGACATCAACTTAACCTGCCCTCAGAAGGGATTGACCACTGGAAAAGAGAATGAACACTCTGCGGATCACAGGATATTGTCCAAGACATCAACTTAACCTGCCCTCAGAAGGGACTGACCACTGGAAAAAAGAATCATCTTTGACAAAGTGATGAGCCCGGGAAGTGGAGCCTTCAATCAGATGGACCATTGCAGTGCTCCAAACAATGGACTGAAACATTCTCAATGATCTTGAAATTGGCATAGGGCCTGTTAGTCTCAGGGTCACTATGAATGAGAGCCAACTTGACAGCATCATAAGATGAGCATCATGTGATTACAAAGTATGTAATTTCTGGAAGAACATTTATTCTGAAAGGAAAACATATAGTACGCTATAGTAATTGTTTCGAGTAACAACAACAAACCAAACCAAAAACAACAAAAACCAAACACTAGTGTATAGAGAGAGCTACATTGGCCTAGTGGACAGAAAGTTATCCTACCAAGCCCAAGGTGGGTGATTTTAATCTGCTACCCTCAGGCCGGGTTCAAATTGTTTTCCTGTCAAACATTCTTCTAGGAGGTATAGCACTGATCTGTGCATTGCTGTACAGAGGTAACTCGTGGTTGCTGGGATGCTGAACACTGTGACACTGATGTGCCAAACATGGTAATGGGTACACATGGTGGACAGTGTTTGGTGGAGCTTCCCGATTAAAACAAGCTTGGAAGCAGGGGTGGCATCCACTTCCGAAATGGCTTGTCTCTGGAAACTCTATGAACAGTGCTCAGGCCTTTCATTCATAGGGTCGCTATGAGTTGTCTAAGACTCAACGGCACCTAACAACAACAACAACATACTTGGTATCATCTCACTTTTATGAAATATATAACCACATCTCTATCTGCCTATGCACACCGAATACTGGAAGACAATACAGACAGACTGTGGGTTATTAAGAAAACTTGTACCTAT